AGACCCTAGGTTAAAAAGGGTTAAGCCGTTTAAAGGGCTTAGAAACTAAAAGGGTTTAACGATTAATAGACTAACTAAGGGCAAAAATATAGAGCTAAGCTAGCTAGGGTCGATCTTTCGGATAATAGGTTACTCCTCGATCTTTCCGACCCTTTAAGCGAAGCGAAACTTAACTATTGTATTTATAATAGCCTTTACCTATAGAAACTAGACGAACTACGTTTTTGAAAAGATAAGATTAATTAATAATTAAAGGCTACTAAACCTAAGTAATTAGGGCTAGCGAAACTACGATAGTAAATAATAGCCCTTGTAATAATAAGAACAAACCCTTAGAAGCGGACATTTCTAGGTCTTTTAGAGTAGACGCAAAGAACTCGAAACGATATTACTTAGAACGGAGGTAGTACTAAGGTACCTCGTACGCCTACCTATTATAGTAGGGAAGACGCCCTCGTATTATAATTAGTCGATAGCCCTTAATTCTTATAGATATATATTACTTTATTATATATAAGGATAGCGTAGTTAGAGTTGAATATTGTATTGTATTAGGAGGTAAGGTTTAATATAGTTATATAATTAGGTAGTTAAGCGTTTAATTTAGCGCGGCTAAATAGCCCTATTAATGTGCTAAGTTAGCGGTAATAGAGGTTAAGATTAGAACGTAGATAGGCTACGAGAGCGCGGCCTTTAGAAGGGAAGCGTATATTAGAGGCTATATGTAATTAGTATATAACTAGCTCGAGTAAAGCTAGGGTCTTAGTGCCTTAGGCAGGGCTTAGCGCTTAGCGTTAGGCTAACTAGCCTGCCTTCCTCCTTCTTCTTCTAGATCTCTATCGAATACTACCTATACCTACTACTACCCTATCTACCTACTAATATAACCCTTCTTATAAATACCTAGATAGTATAGCTTAAAGCTATTAATCTATAAGAATTATACTACTAGACTTACTAGCTAGAGGATAACTACTAGTAATTAGGGGGTTATATATAATATATCTTAGCCTCTACTAAGGTAGTATATCTATTCTTTTAGTATATGTTCTATATATAGCCTAAATAATTAAGTTTTATTTATATATTTTAAGCTAAGGTTAATAACTTTTACTACTAGTAAATTTACTACTAAAGTCTAAATCGCTATTTTAGTATATAGCTAAAGTCCTATTCTCTCTTACTATAGCAATTAGCTAAGTAGTACTTAGTATTTGCTATAGATATATTTAATTTTTAACTAAATATTTAGAAGCCTACTAACTAAGAGTCTAAGGGAATTAATAGCGCGCGTCTAGACTAGTTACGGTAGCAAACTACTACTTAGATACTAGTACTTATACTAAGCCCTACTAAACTATATACTATAGCTAAAACAAACTACTATATAACTTAAAAAAGCATAACTATAATTAAGAAATATAAGATTAGTAAATTTTCCTTTATAAACTAGGGCATAGATATATAGAAACTAAAATTATAATATTCTCTAAAACTAGTATCGTATTCCTAGAACCTTATAAATAGCTATATTATATATATTATAAAGATACCTAGGCCTATAGCTATAGAGTCTAAGAGCCTTTAGCTATCGAAGTTTACTAGCCTCGGTAGTCGAGATATATATACGATTAGTAATTAAAACAAATACATTGCAAGCTGCTAGTCTTAGAACGCGATAGTAGTCTATAACACTTCCTAGTTACTATATTACCCGGTAGTTTAGGATTAAGCAATTAATAGCAACTAAGCAAATAGAAAATGGCCGTTAGAAGCTTGTAGGCTAGGCGAAGGGTTTTGCATAAACAATAAGAGCAGATTGATAGAATATCTGCCTTAAGGATCGCACGTATTACAAGCCCGACTAAGTGTTGGAGACAACTTAGACAAGAAACCTCGTAGCAAGTACCGGTACAGCTTCCCTACCCCGAATGTAGAGGCTGTTAGATTGCTTTAGGAGGGTAGGGATGTGAATCCACCGTAGATTAGCAATCGCCCTTGTATAGCGTCTTCGTATATCGGAGTGAAAGTTAGCGTCCCTAGCCCTAGAAGGTATATAATATTAGCACTTCCGGCACTACTAATTGTAGTGTTCTATACTAAATCGAGGTGTTAGCGCCGCGGCTAAGCATAGCACCTATAGGAACGCTTAGCTATTAAACCTTCCGACTAGAGTTACGTATAGGCACTATCTAGGGCATAAGACACTATCTTTTAGTAGATTTAATAATATATTATTTATAAGCCTCTTGCTATATTGAAGAAAGGAAGAAGGAGTGATTTAGAAGTGCGAGAAGGTTATTGTATAATTAGGAGTAGGTCTACGCTAGATTAATAGTATTCGTAGGGAGAACTCGAGTATAATTACAGAGGAGGCGCGGAGGAGCGGTCGGCGATAAATGGGCGGTTTTAGTAGTGTTTGCGTATATAGAGTCCCCTATTAAATAGTTAGCTTCTCTCTCGTTCTCTTCCTTCGTAATGCCGTATACTTACACTAACGAGTAGCACGCGCAGAATAGCCGCAGAAGAGGTTATTCTAGCGCTATTTGCACTCGTAGTGCGCTACCTCTTCGCGATCAACGATATATTAACCTTCTAGAGGTATACCGTCTACTAGACTAGCGCCGTCTAGCTCTAATCGAAGCCCTCGAACAAGGTAAGGAAGATAGAGCGTAGTTGCGCCTGCTTTCCGACGTCGTAAGTAGCCGTAGTAGAAGTCTAACACTATTAGTTATGCCCTCTATCCGTTTACTTAGTTCAACCCCGGTATTCGATCTAGCTCTATTGCCTTATCGGTCTAGAAGTCCACTATTGAGGCCGGCTCTATCGTAGTAGTTATCGTCGCAGTTGTCGTAATCTCGTCGCTCTTAGGCTTAGCTTCTACGGTTTAATAACCCTCTTCGCTATTAATTCTATATCTAATACCGTAACCGTACGCTATCTATTCTACTACCTGTTTACGACCGTCCGCCGGAATATAATAAGTCGGAGATACAACTTCGAGAGCAGCGCGAGCTTAAACAGCAACTTCTAAGCCAAATACGTCGTCTATAGGTTAAGGTTCTCGATTTGACTAAACAAGAGTCTTAATCTTTAGATAATAACTCAGCCTCGGTTCGGATTACCCCGCGTGCCCGGCGATTCCTATTAGACTAGAGTTAGTTAACCGAAACGCCGACTACCGATTCTTAGGCTTTAGTCCTAAATATAGAGTAACTCTCTTAATCGATACAATATACTAATTTATTGTACCCGACACTGCCTGCTATACTACTTACAAATCGTCCCTCTAGCTAGTTAACTCTGCTAACACTTTAATCCCTTCTTTTTAGACCGCTAGGGCTATTGCTAACGTACGAAATCGCGACCTAACAAACTACCGAAGAGCGTGTCTATCGCCGAGCTGTCCTACTATACAAACTGCGTACTACTATTAAACAACTGTACCGAATAGCTAAATAGCCGATTATTTACATCTTAGAGTAGTCTCGGAGGGCATTGTCGACTATCTATCGCATCGTTTACGAGCCTTTCACTCCTAGGCGCTACCGAGCCTACCGAGTCGACGAATTCGACTATTCGCACCCTCCTCGAGAAATTGTCCTCGCCTACGTACCGATATAACGACGAGGCCGCAGGCTCTATACGGATAGATAAGAGCGCTAAATCGTCGAATTTATTACTTAGAATTCCATAACACGCCGTATAACTTTTTAGGAAGTTAGAGACTTACTCGGCTTAACTTGTAGTCCTGTAACTATCTCTCGCATCTATAGGAGGCATAGTTATCGCCGCTGCGTTATACGCCCTCGGCCCTTCTATAACGACCGTATTCGACGACTCCGCCTCGAATAGGCTTAATACTATTAACACTTTACTAAAGAAGACTAGGCGAACGTTCTATAGAGCGACGAGTATACTATACGCAATAGATTATATAAGAGGCTCTTTGTTACTCGACTAGTTAGTAAGCGCAACTAAGACTGTTATTCGAGGCCTCGCTTCTAACGCCTTCCTTACTAGATAATTTGGGCCTATATTAGTAGTATTAGCGGCAAAGGACTACTCCTACTATAGGACAAGTAATAGGGCAATATTAATAAAGAGTTATATAGTGCGAAGGTCTTGCTAATTGTTTAAGAAGAGATAAGTCGGATAAATGGCCTTATTACTAGCTAACAACACCCTCTCGGATACGAGCCTGCCTTACTATTAAGAATAGCAGTCTTCTAACAAGACTCGGCGCCTATATATACGGCTAGACACACACTTAACTAACTACGAGCTCGCCGCATTATTGTTATAAACAACTAGCTACCTTTATTACTAGATTTGAACCCTATCGAGAACCTATAGCGAGTAATTAAGCAGGCAATTGAACGCCGTAGAAACAGACTAATAGGCCGTAACCTTTAGCTAGCAATTATCGAAGAATACTACAACGTATCTATAGAATTAGTGCAGGAATGGGTTAATAGTATACCGGCTCGTTGTCGTACAGTAATTGACGCTAATAGCGGTTAAATACAGTAGTAGATAGCAGTCTTTAAACTAGCCTTCTATACGGCTTCAAAAACACCCTCCTTCTTAACCCTAATCGTTACTAAACTAGCCTTCTATACGGCTTTAAAAACACCCTCCTTCTTAACCCTAATCGTTACTATACTAGCTAAAGAACTAAGGTTCCTCGAAATCGCACTAATTGGCTTCTAACACCTAGTTACACTATACTTTGTATAGCAAGCGGTGCCGCTTAATAAGGGTTACGACACCCTAGAACGCATTAGCGCTCTTTCACTCCGATGCGTTAAGACGCTGTATACACTATGTAATATACGGGTGTATACTAGGTGTATACAGGAGAGGGCCTACATTAATACCTCGATATCTTAAGAAACCCGACCGCCGACGGCGCTGAGCCTGTATCTCGGCTGTTATCCGCGAATTGCATGACTCCTCTATGAGTGTATACTAGGCATCCGACCTCGAGGGCTGTGTACATGGTGTATTACACGCTGTATACACGATACACTGGATGGTGGGCTCCATCACTATGGGAGGGACCGGGATACGCTGTCGACGTCGGGGAGCTAAGTTTAGGAGCCGTTCCTGTTCCTGCATATGTATAATTGAGCTTGTAATAGGTAGCCGGCGATCATCCCGATTCTGTAGTGCCACCGTTTTCCGCTTAACATATATGCGCAGACGCTAGCGGCGTGCGAGGAGTATATTCAGGTCCGCGAGGAGTGTGCTTGATGAGCATGGGCGCCATCGAAATCACGCGGTACTAGAGAAGAGCCTGCCGCGCGGTGCTCCATTGGCCACGCCGCACGATATCGATAGTTCTGCCTGTAATGCCGGGTGCTGCCACACTGTATCATATTATTACAGGATTGCGGTCGCCAAAGTATGCTACTACACGACGGAGTACTACTACGGAGCTACTGTCCTACCTACATGTCCCGTATCGTCCTTCTGAGTTCCAGTTCTACAATAGCCCCCAAGACCTCGCATTTCTGTCTCTGCCTCTACCCCTCCCCTCACAACTCTGTATTATCGTATACCTTGCCTTGCCATTCCCATTCGGCTGTGACCTGTCTTCCGCTCCGTCACAGCAACACCGGTAACTCTAGTTGTAGCAGCCGAGCGACGCCCGCAGCAGGTGCTTGGACAGCATTACAACCTTTCCAGGTTCCGGGATAGAGCAGTGCACCACACACAGTGAGACCTTCACTGCGACATCCTTGAGCCACGCAATCAGCACAACTGGAACAAGAACTCCCTGCTCGCCTCGCTCGCCCACCCATTCACCAACCCATCCGATCGACATTAGCCTTTCTCCAACTGCATTCTTGCTGTACTACGAACTTCGAAGCCTACCTGCCGAGTCGATACTTGCGCCCTGCCGCACCCAGCGAGACGCTAGGCTATATACCACCAATCTCCCGCCCACCCAAGTCCTCCGATCCAGCTACGGAGCCTTGAAGCCAAAATGGCCACTGCCAACGATACCACGTTTGGAGCTTCGATCGTGCCAACACCGGAGCGCCCAGCACAGCTCCCACACCTCGTCACCAATTCTCCTGCACTTACGCCTGCAGTCTCGCGGAGCAGCTTCCAAGACGAATACACTGGGCCACACGTACCTCCACACTCCCCCTTCTACCAACACCCACCTTCATCAAACGAGCTATCCTTACCGCTGTCGGCCACCAAACATGCCAAGGTGCACCAAGTCCACGAGAAGGACCTTGAGAGTGGCAACGACACCCCACTCACGCCTCACTCCTACGACGAACACCCCTTCTCGGCGAAGACGGCTGTAGAGCACACGAAAGAATGTCAGATGTGGCCCTCGACACAAACACTGAAGCAAAAGTACAAGGAAGACAAGAAGCAGAGAAGGGCGGCTCGAGGAGGCTGCTGCATGCCCGTCCGCGCACAATGGAGCAAGCTCGGTGCGAGGAACCGTATCCTGGTCAAGATTGCTATCGCCGTTCTTGTCATCGGCATCGCCGTGGGCTTAGGAGTGGGCATTTCTGCCGCCGTGAAGGGATCATACTTTGGTACGCCACGCCATGCCGACGCAGACATGCGTAGATTTACATGCTAACTTTGGGATAGTCAACGATGGCAAGAGCAGCCAGGTGCACCGGTGATCCGACGAGAAACCTAGTATGCCTCCGCACGTTCGCAGCTCGTGGTGTTTCAGAGCCAGCAGCTGACCCTCACGCGTTGCAGATTCCGCCGCTTCATCGAATCATCTTACTCGCTACTTTCCCATCGTACTTATCTCGTCGCCTGCCCAGAAGATACCCATCATACTCGGAGTCCTGTTATTGTGCAGCAGTTGTTTGGCAAGGCGTTTGGAGTTATTGGCTAGCAGCATCATCAACAAACATATGGAGGATCTTAAATATCGGCACTGGAAGTACATTTAGAGAGGGGTACAAGTGTACTCGTAACGGCCGACTTAATAATGTTTGCGCGCTGCGTTGGCGCCAGAAATCAAGGAGCAGATCGCAAGGCGATGCTTGACTGGAAAACACCACCCTAGCTCCTTCCTTCGATCACGAGGCGTCACTTTGGTCCTCAACAGTATTCGCAGTCTCGTTTTGCGCTACTGACTGCCGGCCACATGCCATGAATACAGTAAGGCGACAGGCATGCCAACATCAATGTGGCTGGAGACCTATTTGCAGATATGACAAGCCTTGGCGACCTGTGAAGCTGACGAAAGCTGCAGCGGCGCAGAAAGCTCAATGCCTGGTTTGCGAGGACACCAAGATTCTTGTCACATCGTCCAAGACAAATCCCGCACCTCTGCGCACTGTCTTGACTCTCACAATCCCCAAGAAGAATACCGACCCAAGCCAAACCCATGCTGGCACTCACCGAACTGACTTCATCCGACTATTCCATATAGTATGCTCATGCCAGGCGTAGCTGGGGCTAGGTAGCTTCGTGGCCAAGAACCGCGTCACTTTTCTACACATCTGAAACAGCTTGGACAAGTCGTAGATGGTACGCAGCAGGCATGGGAGCAAGATAAAAGGTAGGGTGTAGGATCGAATCGAATTGAGATACATGTCCTTTACTCGCTTCACAGAACAATTCCGTAACAATTCCGTATCATCCGAAAGAGAAAGAAGAAAGAAAAAACCCATGGCGATCAAAGGCGGTCTGCTCCGTATGATTATGATCACAGCTTATTTTACAGCTCTGATTTGTTCTTTACTTATTGTCGGGAGTTTCGCTTGGGTATGTCTGTAGAAAATCTTCACCCCTCTTCCCTCCTTCCCTCACTAACCCTCCCTCCCTCCCTAGTTCACAACCGTAGACGCCACAACCCACAACGCCGCCACCCTCGGTCTCGCCGCCGTCGTCCTCCTCTACACCGCCATCCAAACCCTCCTGATCTGCTGCACCGCCGGCATCAGCCTCCTCTGGCTCTTCTCAATTTTCGGCGATGCCGTTTCTCTTATCCTGATGATCGCCATCGCGGGCATGAATCGCAGTGCGAGGTTTGGGTGTAGTGGGAATCATTGGAGGGATTGGGATGATGAGACTTTGGAGTTTTTGAGGGAGATTTGGAGGGATGGAGGTGTTCTGGCGTGTAGGTTGTTGGTGGCGGGGTTTGCTTTGGCTTTGGTGAGTTGAGAATACTTACTACTATCTAGGGCTGGGGGAGGGAAGAGAGAGTGGATGTTTTGACTGATGGTTTGCTTGTCTAGGTTGCGATTTTTATGTTTGTTGTTACTATCATCTGTCAGGTTTTTGTGAGGCGAGGGAGGAGAGGTAAGGTTGTCAAGAGTGAGGGAGATGGGTTGCCGCCTTCTGCTACGCCGGCCTATATGTGAACGGTTGAGTGAGTTGATAAAGGTTGACGATGCTTTTGGTTGGTCTTGGATTTGTGAAGTCACTCGTTCTTGTATACAGTTTGTTTGCTTGCTTGATACCTACAGCTGTCGATTTTAATGATGAATTCATGTTCAGAACCACATACCCGGCCACGCCACCTGAGGTCCATATCCATACCCATGTTGAGGCATCATATCCATCGTCCCTCGGCCGTTCGGCCCCGTTGCTGGAGATTCCTTGAGCATAGAATTCATTATCGAATCAGTAGTCAGATCCAGCGAAGTCAGTCTCTCCAGCATGTTCGCCGCCGCGGTGAAGACCGTTCCGTGACTCGGGTCCATGCATCCGAATTCCAATGACCCGAGCTCTCCACAGTGTATCAAGAAGTAGGCGTGCACCATTTCATGCACAAGTGTGCCAAGAACAGAAGTCTTGGGCACAGCTTCCCACTTGTGATTTGTCCGCAACGAGATCGACACCCTTTTGCGATTTTCCCAGGCGCATGCAGACATCGTCACCCCGATGGCAATCTCTTCTTCGCCATCAAAAGGTCTCCAGCGTAGATATACTCTTCTTCGGAGATCGCCATTGAAGAAGCAGGCATCAATGTCGTCGAACATCTTGATGATGAGGTCCCATGTGAGTTTTTCGCATTTCATCGCCTCACGTAGAGCCTTCCATCTGTTGTTACTTTTCGCATCGGGTCGCTGATACGTGCACAGCCGTTCGTAGGCTTGTTGGAGTGAGATTCGAGGCGGGTTGGTTCGAAAGCCTCTAGATCCAGGGCCAAAGAGCGGATCTTGAAGGATCCTGAGTTCTTTGGAGTCTACTGGGTATGGAGTGCCATGACCATTGCGAGCAGTCATGTTGTCGGCGATAATGTTGTTGCTGTAGAATTGGGCCATTGCACGCGAGGCGTCCCAAGCCATTTTGGGTTGTCGTATATGCTTATGTTGTAAATGTGGACCGAAAGAGAAGAAATCAAATGTGCGGTCGGAGTTGAGAAACTTTCAATTCACCAGATCCTCGCCGCCTGATCTATAGAATATGCTCCTCCTTCTCTTTCTCGCGCCGCCACGCCTCGAAGTCATAGCCTACGTCTTCTAACCTTCGTGCCTTGTGGCGAGCTTCGCCTAGATCATTGAAGGCTTTCTTGATATTTGGGAACCGTTCTCTTATCCAATACTGCTTCTCCCTCCAGTAGGGTGGCTTTTTGCCTATCGAGCCGTTCTCGTCAATGCTGACAGCCCAGTCGTGAAGCGTGTTAAGGTAGTCTGCGTCTTTTGGAAACTGCAGCACGTGGAATGACGTTCCTTCGCCAGCCTCCCTGACGTTGTCTTCTTCCCATGCCCTCATTTCTTCCTCACTTGGGAGCGTTAAGCGCCCAGAGAGCACTCTTGCAACCAATGCCGACTGCACTTCCGCAAATGCAAATGGGATGACCTTTTGGGTCAAGACCAGGAATGACAGGGTAGGTCGTTGTCTGTAGAACAGATGATGGTATAAGTTCTCCACCCTTCGACCTGTAGTTATCACTGGAGGATCAAGAGAATCCAGAAATGGATACGAATAGAAGTAGCCAGTACAATATACGATGGCATCGATGTCGGTCTCGGTGGTGCCATCTGCAAACTTGACTCCTCGGCTTTCCAGTAGATATTCGATGATCTCTGGCTTCTCTTGCTTCTCCGGCGAAGCTCCACCAACGTTGAGATATGATTCTGACTTCTGAGATATCAATAATGGCAATTTGCAAACAGTGGCTATTTGAGCACCAATATCGATACCAGAAGCAGAGTTCCCGACGACGATGACCTTCTTGCCGGCATAGTTCTCAGGGTTTCGATAGTACTTTGAGTGTGTGATACGGCCCGGATAAGCTCTATTCCAGTGCTGGATGCCAGGCACGTCCGGTATATACGGGACAGCATAATGGCCACTGGCCACGATCACAGCGTCGTATACTTCTTCCACAGGCGTGCTGGCTAGATTCTGATGCACCGCCTTGGTTTTGACTAGCCACTGATCTTGGCCATGAGGCCGTACGTCCAGGACTTGTGTTCGGAATTGTATCAGATGCAACACGTCCTTCGCGTATTGCTCGGTATACTCCAGCACGTCCTCGTGTTTTGGAAATAGCTGGCGGTCTCCTGGCCATTCAAGATCTGAAAAGGCCATCAGATCACGAGGGATATTTGTTTCGAGTCGCTCATAGATTGCAGTCATAAATTGTGCTTGCTCCTGCGCATCTTGACTCGGCTCCTTAGATGTATTGCTACTCTTCCATATCGGCCGCTCTAAACGCGCATGTGGACTGGTTTGTGGTATCGGAAAATCTTGGGCGGATTCGGCATCGCATGGGATGTAGTTCCACTGTCCTCCAACCGTAGTTCGCTGCTCAATGATGGTGATGCGTGAGAAGGCATGCTCTGCAAGTAAGTACCTACCTTTCCAATCAGTCCCATGCCGCCATGTGAGAAGGCGGACTGTCGTACTTTGCCGCTGCTAAGCCCGATGGTCCAGCGCCTATGATGGCTACGTTGTTCGCTCGAAAGCGTTGGCGAGGCGGAAGTGAGCCCATATTCCTTGCTCTTGCCGTTGATCTACATCCTCCGCTCGCTCGAAATGCCGCCAGCACGCTTATATAGAAGAATCAGAGGCAGAATGATGAATAGAATGGATCGAAGCACGTCACCGGCCGCTTGTCGGCAATGTTTCGCTTCGGCCTCAACGACATCCATCACCATTCAATCAGCAGAACAACAGATCAGTTACGAGTCGAGAGGCGCTCATGATGCTGGAGAGTGTGCACCATCGATCACACATGGGAGACGACGCGACCACCGCAATTCAGTGGGCTGCCATGTGACACGTAAGCTCAGTCACATGACAGCACGTGACTTCTTGGCAGGAGAAGGATTTCCACACTGTATTTTAGACTACAGAATAAGCAGAACATAGGCAATCAACGAAGCTATATTGAACCGCTAGCAAGGCAGTATTACGTAAGTAATCTACTGCGCTATGCGTGATAGTTATAAGCCCGGAAATCCGTAGTGTTAGAGACTTCTATAGTATAAGATAACAATTAGCAGTCTTAGTAGTACTAAAACACTATTTAATTAAGCTTCTATAAGCACTTACAAGATCGATATATCGTTAATAGCTCTCTCTTCGGCTAGTCGCCTCGGAGGAACTAAATATATTACTCTTTAAGGGCCTAACGACTAGGACCGCTAGTTTAAGCAAACTAAGACACATCTCTCTAGATATAAAACCTAGATATATACTAATCCTTATACGAGTAAACTAGTAGAGCTAGCTTAGCCTATAATCCCTATACTAGACGCGGAACGTATACTAGTTAACCCTCTTTACTAGTAAGGAGTTAAAATAGCTATAGATATCTATAGGATCTAGTTAGCGGACTTTAATCGATTTAGGTTAGTACGTAACAAGTCTATCGAATACCTAGCTACTACTATAGACGTACGCTATTATTTAGAAATTACTAATAATAACAATATAATAGTACTAATACTACGTATTGTTCTTACGCGTCTAAAGGATAAGCTTGCTCTAAATATATAATAGCAAAGAATAATAGTTAGTAAGGAACTAGCTCGCCTAATAGGATTACGACAAGTTAAGGACCTAGAATAGTAGTATAAGGAATAGCTTAACCTATATAAGAAGATAAGGCGTATATAATACTTAGAACTAGATAACCTAGTAGTCTATCTCTATATAGCAGTTACGAATATAGATAAAACCTACGGAAAGGGACTCTATATAATGCATTAGGCCTCGCCTAATACTAATCACTTCCTCTAACTAATTAATATAGTACGAGAATATGCCCGCAATATACTAGGAGCCTCTATTAAGAAAGGGTTATTATTTAGCATTATCTACGAGGAAACAGGTAAAGCTAATACTACTTCTCCCTAAGCTAATGCCGCTCTACAAGTAGCTAAAGACAATAACAACAAGAACAAGAACCGTAGTAGCAGCCGTATACCGAAGACGTGCGCTAAGGTAACTAGCGTTAGTAAGAAGAAGGCATATAAGAACCGAGGCAAATGTAACGTAGTAAACTATCGCCTTCGTAACTAGGTTAAAGAGAAGGATAAGGACAACAAGTAGAAGGCTAAGCTAAAGTACTTTAAAAGCTACCTACGTAAGAATAAGAGCTTCTGTCTAAGGCAGGCTAAGTTCTTTAAGGACCTACTAGCTATTAAAATTGCTTAAGAACACTATAGATTAGAGAGTAGCAATAGCGAGGATTCTATACCGGATAAGCTCTCCCTTGCCTACTTCTTCTACGCTAATATACTATTATTTGCTAGAGCAGTCGGGCCTACTACCTACCTTAGTATAGCAGCGTTAATAGAGTGGAATCCGTTTAATAGCCTAATATATAATAGTAGCTTAAACTGCAATATTATTAACTATCCTAGTCGCTTCAATTTTATACTACTTCTGTTACTAGCCTCCTTAACTGTAGCAACTAGTACTAGTTACAACAAGGTAGTAGCTATCGGAATAGCATCCTTTACGGTTATAGCTATTAGTAGCAAGCCCCTATAGATTAAACTAAGGGAATGCCTTTATATCCCTAACTTCTATACTAATATTATAGGAGGTGCCTTCTTCTTCTAGCGTAGATTTAAGCACTAAGAAATCGATGACACCCTCTATAGCCTATAATACAAGCTACTAGTTAAGTTTATTAGACTAACCTAAGGAATGCCCTACTTCGACATTGTTAGCAAAGTAGATAAAGCACTACTACTAACTAAGTAGCTAGTCGACTTAGACAATAAGCCGCTTAAATACCTATTCTAACTCCCCCTATCGTTATATATAATAGCTCGCCGCTCCGTACGCCTACTGCTACTAAGAAAGCTTACACTTAAGCAAATATATAAGGTGTTCGGTATAAGAAGGGTATATTAGCAGGTAGATAGGGTAGTAGTCGGTACGAGTAGTATTCGATAAGGAGCTAGGAGGAGAGGGAGGAAGGCAGGCAAGTTAGCCTATTGCTAAGCGCTAAGCCCTACCTAAGGCATTAAGACCCTAGCTTTACTCGAGCCCGGTTATATACCAATTACGTATAACCTCTTTAGTCCTAATATACGCTTCCCTTCTAAAGGCCGCGTCCTCGTAGCCGGTCTTTATTCTAGTCTCAACCTCTATTGCTACTAACTTAGCAGGTCTAATAGGCCGCTTAGTCCGCGCTAAATTAAACGCACAACTACCGATTATATAACTATATCAAACCTTACCTCTAATATAGCATAATGTACAACTCTAACTGCGCTATCTCTATATACAATAAACTATAAAGTAATATATATCTATAAGAATTAAAGGCCTTCGACTAATTACAATACGAGCGCGTCTTCCCTATTGTAATAGGTAGACGTACGAGGTATTATAGCACTACCTCCGTTCTAAGTAATATTATATCGAGTTCTTTGCGTCTACTCTTAAAAGACCTAGCAATATCCGCTTCTAAGGGTTGTCCGCTTCCGAGGGTTGTTCTTATTGTTACGAGGGCTATTATTTACTTTTTAGAAAAAACACAGCTCGTCTAGTTTCTATAGGTAAAGGCTATTATAAGTACAGTAGTTAAGGTTCGCCTCGCTTAAAGGGTTAGAAAGATCGAGGAGTAACCTATTGTCCGTAAGATCGACCCTAGCTAGCTTAGCTCTATAGTTTTGCCCTTAGTTAGTCTATTAGTCGCTCAATCTTTTAGGCGGCTTAAAGTTTTAACTTAGCCTTAAAGTTTTAATTAAAGTTTTGATTAAGGTGCCTTAGGCTCGTAGTATAGGTAAGGTTGTGTCTATAGGCGTAGCGACAATAGTAAGTAATGTCGATAATAGCGGCGCTAGTCGTCTTAGCGCTAACTTTACCTTACTTTCGATTTCCTTCTTCGACTAACAACACACTCTATAATACCGTTACTAATATAGCCGCGCCGGCCGTGTCGCCCTTTAGTACGAGCGTAACGCCGTCGTTACTATTATTATTACTATTACTATTCGCCTACGCGCGCGCGCGCCTCTATCGACCGCCTAGGCCTTAGGATCCTAATAGGACGTAGAAACAAGAGGGGCGTTAAGAGGAGGACCTTATAGGGTACGCTAGTAAGGAGGTAGATTCTTTAAAAGAGTAGGCGATTAGTTGACAGTTATAGTGCGCTCGTTAGTACTCGTTACGCGTTCGTTATCGTAGTATAGTCTTATTATCCTTTGCTAACAATTGCTTGCCTCTAATTAGTTAGCTTAATAGCACCCTAGGGGTAGCATTGTTCCTAGGCCCTAGTAGTAACATTATAGCCTCTTAGCCTTCTTCTTGTCCTTCACACTAGTCTAATACTCGTCTAACAACTTAGTTATATCCTTAAAAGAGTCTTTAGCCTCCTACGAGTCCTATTTAGGTAAATAGCCTTGCTATCTTAGGAGGTACTCCTTCTTGCTTTATCTAGTCCGATGCTTTAGTATGCGCTCTATAGACTATAGTTCTTTACTATTAGCTAAGACTTCTTCTAACTTAGTAGGCGCTTTATCGCCTTCGCGCTAGCAGTATAGTTTAAGGAGGGATATATAGAAGGTGTTATAGATAGTGTAATAGGGTAGAAGCTATAACTAGTAGGCCTATGCGGAAGAGCCCTTAACTTCTCGAATGCGGAATAGGCTAATGTATCTCGGTGCAAGCTTGGGTCTTATTTTGCTATTAGGTAATAGGTGTTTGCGGATACGGAGGTTCTTAGTGCTTAGTATAACTATATCGCCTTGTTTAAAGGTTATTAGTATATAGCGCTTATCGTAGTAGGCCTTTTAGTACTCTTAAGCCCTTATTAGCTTCTTAGCTATCTTAGTATAGATTTCTCGCATCTTCTAGACACGTTCTATTACCGCTAGTGTTTCCGGTACTTAACGCGCTTCCCTTTCCTTACGCTCGGCCTCGAGCGATAGTAGGTCTTGTAGTATAGTAGCGTTCTAGCCTATTATAGCTATGTATAGTAATATCTTAGTCGATAAGTAGACACTGTTATTGTATACGAATTTAGCTAGTTATAGGAGGTTAACCTAGTCGTTAGGGTTCTCGTTGATGTAACTGCGCAGGTACTGCTATAGGGTAGCATTCTGCCTCTCTATTTGACCGTTAGTCTATAGATAGAAGGCTATTAATAGCCGATGCTTTAGTCTTAGCTACAAGCAAATCTCGCTCTAATAGTAAGATGTTAGTGTCGATCTACGATCGGACACGATCCCCTTAGGGGTTCCCTAATAGGTATAGAAGATGTTAGTCTATAGCGCCTCTGCTATATTAATAGCAGTCCAATCCTTACGAGTAGGAATGTAGCGAGCACCCTTAGTAAATCGGTCTATAACGACTAATATAGCGTTAAAGACGTCTTTGCTTCCTCTTCGCTTAGTAGGGGGAAGACCTATAATAAAGTCTATTATAAGCTCTGCAAAAGGCTTCTTTAGAACAGGGAGTAAAGACAACTCGCTAAATGGTAAGTGCTTTAGTGCTTTAACTCGCTAGTATACTACATAGGTCTGTATATACTCCTTTATATGCCGCTTACTATTTAGCTAGTAGTATATACGCGATAGTAACTCGTGCGACCTCTCTATGCTATAGTAACTAGCGAGCTTACTATTATAGTGCCTCTTTAAAAGCTCTTATCTAATCGATTGTTTAGCGGGGACATAGTATCTGCCCTTAAACTTTAAATAACCTTTGTCGTCGATCGACTAATTACTCT